CTATCAAATGAAATAATGAATGTAAACGACTTTAGAATTTGAAAAAAATATTACGTAATTAGTCGCAAGACGGGGTTGGGAACAAAGATGACATTTCCCCTCTTTCTCTAACCTTTAATGTAAAGAACTGCATGCTAGCTACTAGCCACATATGGCTGCTGAGCAGCTGCAGTGTGGCCGGTTTGATTGAGATATGCTGTATGCACAAAATACATGCTAGATTACAATGCTCTAGAATAAAAAAAGTAAAGTACCTCAATTTTTATATTGATTACGTAATGAAATAATATTTGGATATCGGATTAAAATATTTTATTGAAAGTAACTTTGCTTGTTTCTTTTTACTTTTTTAATGTGACTGCCAAAAAATTTTAAATTACATATTTGGCTCAAATTTATGACCCATATTTGGATCACATTTATGGTTCACATTATGTTTCTTTTGGACACGGCTGATCTAGAATGAAGACATTGATGGCCTGGCACAGGAAAGGCACTCAGTAAATATTTGTTGAATAAATGAATGAATGTTCTCAATAATGGATGGGTAATCGGGTTCACTATGTCCTAGACACTGTTCTGAGCACATTCCACTTGTTTATTTATTCCTTACAACAACAATAGTTAATATTTATATAGCACTTATCCTGTACCAGGAAATGTTCTCAGTGCTTTCCATGTATTAATTCATTAAACCTCAGCCTTATGAACTAGGGTCTATGATTTTCATTTTACAGATGAGGAAATTGAGTCATAAAGAGTTCTAGTGTCTTGCCCTAGGTCATATAGCTAGTAAGCAGAACTGAGATTAAGACCCAAGAGTTTGGCTCAACAGTTTGTGCTGTTAACTCCTGTGCGGGGCTGCCTCTCCACACTAAGCAGAGTTATTGAAATAGGGGATGTAATCCAATGTGGAAGTCACAGTATAGAAGGGGAGGTGGTTTCTGAATGCTGTTTGAATGTATCGCAGTTTTCTCAAAGTTGCAAAATAGCTCCCCACATTTATTCTTTCCTGGATAAGATTCCCCTAAGCCAGTGGTCAGCAAACTGCGGCTCGCAAGCCACACACGGCTCTTTGGCCCCTTGAGTGTGGCTCTTCCTAAGCCTTAGGAGTGCCCTAATTAAGTTAATAACAATGTACCTACCTATATAGTTGAAGTTTAAAAAATTTGGCTCTCAAAAGAAATTTCAATCGTTGTACTGTTGATATTTGGCTCTGTTAACTAATGAGTTTGCCGAACACTGCTAAGCATTTCGTTAGAAAGAAACAACAGACCTAAAAATTGAGTCACTTTTGCTAAGCACCACCAAGACTTAATGCCTCACCTAACTGCAGTTTCAGCTTCTCCCAAGAGTGGACTTGTAAACCAATCAGTCTGGAATTTCCTGGTCAGCACCAATGAGATAATCTGCCAGAAAAGACCCTTTGCCTTCCCCTAAGCACCCGCCTAGTTGCTAGATGGGATGCTGCCCAACTCATGAGTCCTTTAATAAATGCAACCAGATCTTCAAATTTACTCTGTTGAGGTTTGTTCTTTCACAAAATCAATGATCTCAAAGTCAATTATCTTCCCATCTCTGGGCCAATCTGTTGGCCAGAGGGACGGGTGATTCTGAATGACAGCTACTTCTGGAGCTGGAGCCGGAGCCAGAGCCAGTCCCACTTAAAAGCAAGCCACGTGGCTTGGGAGGTGGAAGGAAAGGGGGGGGCGGGCGCGGAAGGAGAGGGTGTTTACCACAGATAGTGATTACATAAAAACAACAAGATGCCCTCAGTGCTGCCTTTAGGGAATATAAAAAACAGATGGTACTTATATTCTTTATTAACCTTTTATGTGTTTGTTCTTATAGTTATTGCCTTTGTAGTCCTAATTTTATCTAGGCTCAGAAATCTTAGTTCTTTAATTGCCTCATTTTTCTAACTTATACTCTTTATTGCTGCTTTTCACAGTAATTTTTTTTATTTTATTTTAAGTTATGCAGTCCCAGACTGGACATGCTGTGCAAATCAGGGGCCTTTTTGAACCAATAAGCATCCGCCCTTCAGCTGAACTGATGGTTATATTTCTACAAGTCACTTTCTTAAACTACTTTTTCTGTATCAAACTCATTTTCTGTATCAAACTCATTTTCTGCATCAAAATGGGGAAATTTTCATAAAAATTCACAAGTGCTAACTTCCTGGGAGAATTTGATTGACTAAA